GGTAACATTAATTAGTGAAGGGCCATTATAAATCCTTTGCATAAAGAACCCTATAAGATTACAACAAAACCCTAAAGAACGCGACTTTGAAAGATAAGGAAAGATGTTGATTCCCTAAACTCTAAACCCTAAGTTGTTTCAAAGGTCCTGTCGGGACCGGGGGGCGTCCGTACCTCTCTCAGCTCCACAATGACTTCGTCCATCCGCTGCTCTAGCGCCTCCACCTCGCGGCACAAGCAGAACCCCTGATCCTCAGGGAAAAATCGGTGCCGCAATAACTAGAATAGCTCGTGTAGCCTGATCGCATACATGGGGGTTTCCGAAAATAGGGGGCCCCAATATAGCACCCTAAATAATAGGATCCTTATTATAATAACCCCAAAATAAGGTACCCCAAATTTCGGAAACCCCCACATGTAACCAGGAACACCAGGAAGGGGTCGAAGTACCATTGGAGTAGCTACTTAATAGATTCTTGGGCCCCAGAAGTATAGGCTAAACGATTACTGAACCCTAAACCCTAAACTACACTGTTACTTGGATCATTGGGGTTAGGTAATCAAACCTTTCAATAAGGGGTCACTGGTCACAGGTAGCATTTAGAACTTCTCGAAAGCTTGTCAAAATCCGCTTGCCGTTTCGGGCTTAAGGCTTCAGTCCCTAAAAACGCGAACCCCTAAACCTTGAACCCTATTCAGTGAAGTCCTTCAGCCCTTAACCCTAAAGCCTAAACCGAATTCATTGACAGGTTGGTTCCTATAGGAGACCATTCTCTGCCGGCAAAAAGGTTTAGTATGGTTCAGACTGTAGGATTTGGAGGTTCAGGGCTTGAGGTTTGGGGTTTGGGATTAGGGTTGGGGGGTTTTAGGGTATGTGGTTTAGGGTTTGGGGTTTAGGGTGGGCACCATTCTATGCTACGGTATCTACAGCTGGTGCGTGGCGGGAGCTACATCCCACGAGCAAAGCCCCACACCACCTCTGAACACCGGACTCTTGGCCCCAGTCGGCAGCCCTAGTCATCTGAAAACGCCCATCCCCAAGCAGAAATCCAAAAATATCCTGATCCCTCAACCGCTGTAGGAGACACCCTGCTACTGACGCAGACCTCACAGAATCACAAATGCTTAGTATTAGTATTTATTAGTATTTATTTATTGATATTATTTACAAAAATGTTATGGATCCTAGTTGAATAGGTCTTCCATACTGGGAACTTAAGCAAGCAACCCGGAACTCCAAACCCCAATCAAACCCGAAAGCCTAAACCCCAAGCGATGAAACACACACACACACACATACGCACACATACAACAGAAGAATCAGAATAATAAGAAGAATAAGAAGAAACAGCAAAGAACAAACAACACAGAAGCTTTATTTTACACCGTCGCGCGCTCCGGCCTTCTTGCGGCTGCTGCCGACGCGCCGGAGATACTCCAAGATCTCATCGAGTTTCTCCTGCGTGTACCTTGGGGCTATATGGGGGTTTCCGAAATTTGGGGTACCTTATTTTGGGGTCCTTAGAATAAGGATCCTATTATTTAGGGTACTATATTAGGGTCCCCTATTTTCGGAAACTCCCATATAAATGCTTCAAGTATCCCTAAGGGTCCATATATACTACCATTACGGAATTAGGTCCCCAAAACCCTAATATGAATGGTCTTTTGGGACCTCATTCCATAATGGTAGTATATATGGACCCTCTGGGTATGTAGTGTCGTTGGGCTTAGGGGTCAAGTACTCAGGAAATATGCTTTCAAGAAGCATATCTAGCAGCACCCTCTCTGTCCACGGCACATGGGTAGTTCTCTAAATTAAGGTTTTCTTGGGGGTCCTTTTTATAAGGGTGCCGTACTATATTGGGGACCTAAAAAAATGTTGGGGACCGAAAAAGGGACCCTAATTTTGAAAACTGCCCACATTGTTGTTTGAGTGCTTGGGCACCGGGGGCACAGAGCCCCGAATCCGAAACTCTGACACTGTAATCTAATATAGGGGCCTGAATAATTAGAATAGGGTACTGGGGTCCTTTACAATATAGTTATAATAAGGAGCCCCCCCCAAAAAAAAACAATATATATATATATATATATATGGTCAGCCCCCCCCCCCATGATCTACCTCCGTCTTTCTTGGGTATGTAAAA